CTTTGGTGTTCCAGGATCCAACAATGACATCAATGTGCTCAATCAGTCACCATTGTTCACTAAAGTGTTGCAAGGGAAAGCTCCTAGGGTAGACTGCTATGTCAATGAGCAACAATACAAGAAAGGATATTATCTTGCAGATGGAATATATCCAGAGTGGGCTGTTTTTGTGAAAACCATCCCGCTGCCCCAAACTGAAAAGACAAACTCTTTGCCCAGAGACAAGAAGGTGCGAGAAAGGACGTTGAACGTGCATTTGGAGTTCTCCAACAACGCTTCAAAATTGTGGCAGAACCATCACGACTTTAGGATCAAATAGATATCTGCAACATAATGAAAGCGTGTGTGATCATGCACAACATGATACTCGAAGATGAGAAGCGTGTGGAGTTGCCTTTTGATTTGAATGAAGCTTTGGGTACATCTACTGCCCTACCGCCAACAACAATCAATGGGGCTACACCTTTGATTGCCGACGTGATTAGAAGAGATGTTGACATACGTGACCGATCCATGCACAATCGGCTCAAACATGATTTGGTTGAGCATATTTGGAGGAAATTCAATGAAGATACAAACAATTAGTTGTAATTTACATTACTTATGTTGCTTCAGTGAACAACTTTATTTCTGTGTGTGTGTGTGAGAGAGAGAGAGAGAGAGAGAGATTAATTCTCTGCATATGAAATTGTATGTGTTGTCAAGAGTTTTAAGACTATCTTTGAATTTACTCTAAATTATGCATACATGCTTGTGTTCTTTACTAGCTTGCTCAAGTTTTATATAGTATACTTCAATAACTGTTTTAACTAGGCATGTTAAGAAAATTCTTCTTCTTTTCAGCTGCAATGGATTACCGTCCTCCTAACGGTTTCGTGAGCTACCTTCAAGACCAAAGTCATCCAAGCTTCACCTTGCCAGCCCATCAACAGCTTGGTTTTCAATATCCAATGTTCTGTACGCATCCACCGCCACTGCCACCGCCGCCACCAGCCAATCACCACCCTCTCTCATCGACATCTGTTCCGAGGACCACAACTCCATCCAACAAGCGAAAATAGGTCACAATTGATGTGGAACCAGATGATGAAGATAGACCGAGGCTATATTATACAAAAGACGAGGACATCAGATTGGTAAGCCCCCCCCCCCAAATCCTCTCATTCTTGTCATGTGAAAATTGAAGACATCTCATGGCATTCTATCTAAGAATTTATTTAGGTTGGATTCTCCTATTTTTATACTCCATCACATGCACCTTGTCTTTTGTTTAGTAAAATGTAACCTTATGCTTGCTTCCTTTGTGCAGGTGAGTGCTTGGTTGCGCAACTCTGTGAATCCTATCGATGGTAATGCAAAGAAAGCAGAATACTACTGGAAGGAGGTTGCTGCTACATTCAACAACACAACTAAGAGTGATCGACAGAGGGGTGTGAAGCACCTCAAGAACCATTGGTACAAAACAACAAAGAAGGTAACCTCTTTCAATGGCTGCTACAACCAGATCAGGGACACCTATGCAAGTGGCCGGTGTGATAAACAACTCATGGAGCAAGCTCTGGAACTGTACCACAGCCGCCATGGACACCAATTCATGTATGTGCATTGGTGGGAAGCTGTGAGGGACAACCAAAAGTGGAAGATTCATGTGTACACAGAAGGGGATGGAACAAAGAGGACAACGCCGAGAATGCTCAACGTCCTCCAGGTTGCAAGGGTGCCAAGAAAGGCAAGGGAAAAGATAAGGAAGCCCCTACAGAGGTCAATATCATGAAAGAACAGATTGGTGCTTTTCTACAAGCACAAGCTGATGCTAAGGTGCAGAATGAAGAGATGATGGCATTGCAAAGTCGACTATCTGCTCAGAAGGTAGAAGCTAATCGACTTGCATATGAGGCTGCAAAAGAGAGGACAGTGGCTAAGCTGGCAGAGGAAAGAACCAAATTGTTTGACAAGTTCACGGAGATGTTGAATGCTGACACTACAAGGATGGAGCCATGGGCAAAGGAGATGCATATGAAGTCTGTCACGAGATTGGGAGATCAACTCTTCAGGGAGGAATAGAAGGTATGTAGTCCAATTTCTTTGGCTCCCTTTGTTTGTCTCCCTTCACTATACACATATGAATATTTGCTTTCCTGTAGTTTAGTAGATTTAACAAGAAAATAAGACATGTTATTCTTATTATGTTGCCTTTGAGCATGATTTTCCTCTATTCTCCAGCTTGATTCATGTCATATTCTTTATTAGTAGATTCCAGTTTCGAAAGAACCACACTAATCAATGGCTATTGCCTTTGAGCATGATTTTCCCTCTGATCATTCTATTGTTGGTATTCCATTTTCTGAGTTCGTCGAGGGGCCCCTAGAAGAACAGGAATGACCCCGCCTGCTTGTTTTTATACTCTAAACATACAGCTGTACCGTGCATTCCATGTAGTAACAAATAATTCTGTTCTACCTTTTCCTAGGATAGTAGTAGTTACTAGAACTTCCACTGTCTAAAACAAGCATCTGCACATATATATATATATATATATACTGGAGACTTTTCCATATTAACCAACCATCAGGAATACCCTCACTTGTTACAGACCCACCACTCAGGATCCGTTAGCTCAGATAAAATCTGTTATTGATGAAGCTTTAAAGCCCGTATCAGAACCTTTGAGATCCACTGCAAGGGAAGATCCACTAGCTCACTTAAAACCAGCTCTTGATGAAGCTATGAAGTCTATCCATGAGCCAGTTCATGAATCCCTTGCAAGACTGCCACGTGAAGTACTTGATGCAGCACCACCACAATTAACTGGTCTGATAAAACCTTTCGTGAACTTGATCAATGTGTCTTGCTTCCTATGTAGATGTTCAACAGATATGTGCAGCAAAAGAGGGGCTCATGTGCAAGGAAGCATTGAAGATGTGAGACAGTCTTTTTCTTGGAATCAGAAGGTTTAGAAGATACACCAACAAATTCAGTTTGAACTTCGAATAAATTTGATATGAGTGTTTACAAATCTTCCCTTTATGAGTATTCGGAAACCTTAAGATTATTTTGTTACTGCAGAATTTTTTAGTGTCATGGACAAGACATACTTGCTACTGTTTGGATATGAAGGTTGCTGATTTTGTATGGAAATCAAATTTTGCGATAACTTTCAATATGCATGCTTGTTGATATCATTGATCCAAATGGTTGCTGGTATTGTTTAAATGTAGTGGAGGTTTCATGTGTTGGAAAGTATGTGAGAGAGAAAAAGTAAAATGATGACATCACATAGAGTAGCTTTCATTGGATGATTATGACAGACACAAGTAGCTTCATTGCAATTTATCTATGTGGAGTGCTGCCTCCATTGTACGTGCCCTTATGCAGCCCCAACTTCTTTGCAAAAAAAAATGAAGAAGAAGGAAAAACAGAGAGAAAAAAAACAGCCCCCGCTTCCATGGCCGCTATCCAACCCTTGAGCCCTTTCTCTAGAAGTTCCAAATTCGTGGGCTCGGATTCAACTATCGTCCCTGCCCGAATCCTGCCCAGACCCCGGGGAGTCACTCGTAGTGCCATGGCGTCGCCTACCGGCAGCAGCCGCTCCTCCAAAATCCCGGAGTTCCTGGCGGGTTCCGGCGGCCGGCCGGTGCCGGCCCTGGGGATCGGCACGGCGTCGTTCCCGTTCGTGGCAGAGGACGTCAAGAACGCCGTGCTCGCCGCGTTGGAGCTCGGCTACCGCCACCTCGACACAGCCTCGGTTTACCCCTCCGAGCACCTCGTCGGCGAGGCAGTGGCGGAGGCGGGGCGGCGCGGGGTCATAGCGTCCCGCGAGGAGGTGTTCGTGACGACCAAGGTGTGGTGCACGCAATGCCACCCGGATCTCGTGCTCCCTTCCCTCAAGGAAAGCTTGCAGTTAAGCCGTCTTGGGTTCATTCCTTGAACTTTATTTTTCAGTTTTATTAATTCTTATTGCTCGCCTGAATTTGTTTGTAGACCTCAGTTACTTACGGCTACACGAGTTTCAGTTATAGACATTGTTCAATTTGGTAAAACTTGACGGTAACTTCTAGTTTGTAAGTTATGTCCAGACTCCAGAGTGGGGTCAAAATGAGGATAATTGTCTATTGGTCCAGCTGCTTTGAGGCGTGATTGCGATTCAATAGCAATTTCTAGCAACCTAGAATGAACTCTCAGACCGCATATCTGTCCAGTATTATCATTAAGCTTACCATACAACTCTTTCCATTTGAAAATTGAAATTTCAAAAAGCAAACTAACTTTATATTTTAAAACTAGTAGCAGTTGACAATATGAAATGAAATCAGCTCGATAGATGTATGCTGTCGGAGATCACATGTCCTATGCGAGATTTATAACCATTTCAAATGTTAATTAATTGTTTTCTTTGAAACTATGCAAATATGCAGAATCTAGTTATATATTCCAATTGCAACTTCATACCTTACTCTATGACTATATATAAAAATGAACAATCATTTACGAGATTTGACCCTTCATCACATTTTCTTCTCACCGTGTGATTTTAACTGAGTGTATATAAACGTACCAACAAAAGAGTACCAATGACAATTTTAAAAATAAACTTGGGTAACTAACAGACAACACATGAAGTATAGTATTTAGTCATATAGTTTGTTCGCAATCAAAACTTATGTAGTATAGTCTTTACTCATATCTTTATCTTTTATTTGTTGACAACACATGTTACTAAAATTTCCACAGCAAAGCACCTAGGCAATATTAACTCCTGGATAAAACTATTTCTAAAAGTGCAAAATTAATTTTAAATCTCTATTTTCTAAAAAAATATAGGACCAAATCTCGATATTTTTATGTGGGGCCAATTTTTTATTAACTGGAAGCTATGGACTAGAATTATAAACCAATACTTGACATTCGCTTCAAGAATCGAAGACTGTTCCTGTTCTGGTACAGAAGCTTGTTTCCCTTATAGCTGTACTCTGCCACTTCTGTGCTAAGCTTGTCTTGCCATGTCTAGAAACCTTCAAATGGAATATGTTGATTTGTACTTGGTCCACTGGCCTATGAGCGTAAAGCCCAGCAAACCACACTTCCCAATGAAAAGGGAAGACATCGTCCAGATGGACTTGAAAGGCGTATGGCAGGCAATGGAGGAATGTCATCGCCTTGGCCTTGCTAAGATGATTGGCGTTAGCAATTTCACAACGAAGAAATTGCAGGAGCTACTTGCAATTGCAGAAATCCCCCCAGCAGTGAATCAGGTTTGTGTTGATCAATCATACAAGTAATGGTGATGCAACCTTCTCTTGTCTATTCTATGATTTTCACGAACCAAAGAAGAAGTAGAAGCTGATTTAGTTTAAAATCCTTCTGTAAAAACTTGGCCCAGACTACCCTAAATCGATATCATTGTTCTTTGATGCATGGGATAACCTTTCAGGTTGAGTTGAATCCAGCTTGGCAGCAGAAAAAACTGATTGAATTCTGCAAAGAGAAGGGAATTCATGTGACTGCTTATTCTCCCCTGGGAGGCCAAAGCAGGACATCCAAAGTCAATGCAGTGCTACAGTCTGAAATTCTGAAAGAGATTGCCGAAGCTAGAGGAAAATCAGTAGCTCAGGTATTAATCATCGCTTCAATCTTAGGAACTGTTTCGTATGTACCAAAATCTGCCTTGTCACCAATTCGTGCAAGGTTCTAGCATCGTCCATGATTGGAAATGATGTTTGTTTAGAAAATGAACTAATAAATGCAGAGTGTGAACAAATATTTGTCGAATTTTGCAAACAACCTAAATGCGTGCAATATCTAGTCAATTGGATCTCAATGTACCAGCGTGCAGGTCTCCCCTATGGTATTACAGTAACAAAAGTTGCACCTCAATATGAGCAGTGCAATTGACTCCCATTTTCCTGCAGATCTCACTGAGATGGATCTTCGAGCAAGGAGCGAGCATGGTAGCCAAGAGCATGAAAAAGGAGAGGCTTCAGGAGAACCTCGAAATCTTTGACTGGGAACTGACCGACGAAGACCGGTTCAAGATTACTCGGATACCGCAGTACAAGAAGGTCACAGTGCTGGCGATCCTCTGCCCTGAAGGTGTCCCTGGCGTTGATCTTTCGGAGGTTGATGTTGTTGAAACGTAGGTGTCATATTGTGAAGATGCATGCGCCATTTAAACCTGTAATTTGGTGAAGATGCATGCGCCATTTATGCACTCCAAATTACAAGGATTTGGTGAGATGCTTCTGGTGCTACTACCTGTGACCTACCTGGATGAGGTTCTGCTTGGCATCATCAATTGTGATGATCCTGACGGGTTCCCTACAGTGCTGGTGGGTAGCCGTCAGTCGTCACTCACAGTGTCACACATGGACTTGGCCACAGGCCACAGCCACTTTGGTTGGCTGATCTTTCCTTGTCTCGCGCCAGCATCTTCTTCTCTTCTCTCGAGGAAAAATGAAAGACTAGCACCAGTTGCTCCTAGAAAATCGACGAATTTTTCTCAAGCTCGGATGGATACTAGAAGGCTCTTGTTTGTTTGACAGGCAAGCCAAACTTCTTCTGGCGGGCGCGACAAGTCAACAACTGAGGCGGGTCTTGGCTACGAGACGGATGTATGGCAGACATGTGGGCCTCTGAGTTTTTTTTTGTGCGTGAGAGAAGACCGGGCCTCAGAATTTACTTCGAAAGTACGGCGGAGAACGAAACGTATGGTACAGAAATTGTCTAGCTCAACATTGTGCATGCATTGTGGTGGTTAGTTCACAACTGCCTCCGCCGCACAAGGATCCTGTTTCATTCCAGAAACTATTGATGCCCGCCGGAAGAGCCAAAACCCACCTCTCTGTCTTTGAAAAACGGAAGAGCGGCTACGTAAGTACTTATGTCACTCCGGCCAGTATAAAAGCCGGTGGCTCGTCACACGCGCGTCCTGTGCTTGAACCACAAGACAAGCTCGATCACGATTCACGCGCCGCGCGTTGTCAGTGCGAAGCAGCTGTTGTGCGCTCTGCAGAGACGACCCATGGCCTCGAGAACAGCGGCGGTGCCGGAGGTGGCCCTGCGGTCCGGCGACGCGAGGCCCATGCCGGCCATCGGCATGGGCACCGCCCAGTCCCCGGTGGTGCCGGAGACCACCGTGAAGGCCGTGCTGGAGGCCGTGGAGGTGGGCTACCGCCACTTCGACACGGCCTCCATGTACGCGACGGAGCGGCCCCTGGGCGAGGCCCTCGCGGAGGCGGTGCGCCGCGGGCTCCTGGCGTCCCGGGAGGAGGTGTTCGTCACGTCCAAGCTCTGGTGCACGCAGTGCCACCCGCACCTCGTGCTCCCGTCCCTCCAGGAGAGCCTCCAGTAAGCTCGGTCGACCCATAGACGCCTGTAATCAATCGTTGTTAATTTCTATACAGAAGATCTTGATCGTCTCGGTGTTTGTGTTTCGTTCTTCAGGAACCTGCAGATGGAGTACGTGGACCTGTATCTGATCCACTGGCCGATCAGCCTGAAGCCCGGGCCCGTGGTGTTCCCGGTGAAGCGGGAGGACGCCGTCCCGTTCGACTTGGAGGGCGTGTGGCGGGCGATGGAGGAGTGCCACCGCCTCGGGCTCGCCAAGGCCATCGGCGTCAGCAACTTCACCACCAGGCACCTCGACAAGCTCCTGCCGGGCGCCACCGTCCCTCCTGCAGTCAACCAGGTTGCTGAACTTAATACCACGAGATCACTGAGTAGCACTGGTCTGAATATTTTGGCAACTCGATCGACCATATATACGTCACCGGAACTCAACGCTAGCTGCGTGTGATGTGCAGGTGGAGATGAACCCGGTCTGGCAGCAGAGGAAGCTGAGGGAGTACTGCGCGGAGAAGGGCATCCACGTCGCGGCCTACTCGCCGTTGGGAGGGCAGAACTGGTCGGGCGACGGCAACGCCGTGCTGGACTCCGAGGTGCTCGCGGAGATCGCCAAGGCAAGAGGAAAGAGCGTCGCACAGGTAGTGTACACGCCTCGTTTCTCGTATCAACTGCTAGGAACAATGGAGCATGCAGTCCGTATGGCACTAACCGATTCCTCTTTTTTCTCATTCAGGTAGCGCTGAGATGGATCTACGAGCAAGGGGTGACCCCGATCGTCAAGAGCTTCAGCAAGGAGAGGCTCAAGGAGAACCTTGGGATCTTCGACTGGGGGCTCACCGACGACGACCTGCGCAAGATCGGCCAGATTCCGCAGAAGAAGATCGTTAAAGCTGAAACCGTGCTGTTCTCGGCAGAGGGCGAGTTCACGTCGGCTGACCTCGCAGACATGGAAATTGTCGAGGATTAAAATAGGCACCGAGAATGCCTGCTTCGCTGTGTGGCGTAAACTGCAGTAGCTTACTTAAAGAGTGGGGATGAATAAATAAGTAATCGGTGCTATATCCCGTTATTCCTCTTTTCGGATTCAAGTTGTCAGTGAAGACCGTGATCACCGTTGCAATCGCTCGGAAGTATTCCCTAATTTGAACTGCAAAAACGGCTTATATTAGTGTACTAGACATAGTATGTTGTGCTGCAACCGAGGTTCCATACGGCGCGCATCGTTTTCCTCTGGATGGTTGTTTCATTGTCCATCGACGCCCGTCGAACGTCACTTTCCGGCGAGCTCTAATTCGGGGTGGATGGACAGCTTTCGCTGCAGCACCTCTAACGTCTTGTACCCACTAATCTGACGCAGCGACCGGATCTATTCTAGTCGAATCTTCAAGTGTCGGGGTGTCTTTTCCCGTCAAACCCGTTATATTTCGACTTGGCGAGTTACAGCTTCATTTTCCACGTAAAAATCATTTGAAAACTTGGTGAAATAGGAAAAAAGGTTCAATCACAACCGAACGGCAATAGAATTACGTGACTCTTACACGTAACCTATTGGTGACTCAACAGCAAAACCAGTTAATGTATCACATGTTACCGTCTCTCAACGATTGCACTCGAAGTTCAAATTGCCCATAATATGATGCACACTTCCTTGGGATGTGTGCCTTAAATTTTGGATGAACCCCGGCTAGCAGTTTCCGAATAAATTCATTACACTAGTAGGTGGTGGCAGAATGAAAGCCACGTACTTGAATCCTATACCACAAGTGGCTGGCAAATGATCAAGAAAAAAAGATAGATGATTGGTTTCATCCTAGTTATAAAAGCAATGTTTCTTTTGCTTCCATTTCAGTAGCATTTTTGAGAACTACCTACCTTCTATTTTTTTTTAAAAATCTACACTTCATATGACATCGATAGTTGTGCAATGAGATGATTATGCGTACCATCTTATACAGAGAGGCCGGGAGTATACATTTTTTTCAAATTAGATGATATTTCCATGAGATTTGATTGCATAAACATGAATTTGAACTAATAATATATTGCATATGTTTGATCACATGACACATGCACTCAATTGGGAGTTCCAAACAAGTTCGATAAGTGTTTTTTTAAAAGAAGGTTAAACCCTGGCCTCACCTCTGCAACGGTTGATGCACATAGTCATATATTAAAAATAGTGCCAAACATTGATGTCGAACAAATCATCTAACCAAAACAAGAAGAAAGTGAGGTCATCCACATTGGACAAGCCTCGCAGAAGTATGTTCAACACCTACCACAGAATATAAAACGATATATTAGTAGACACGAGGTGCAACGCTCCAAGACATCGCCTTCAAGAAGGAACCATCGCCTCTGTACCGATGTTGGCTGGTCCAACATGTCATACCAGTGACTATCACCCCTGAAGAAAATGTTCGAACCAACACCTTCAACAAGGAAACGACGCACAAGCATTGACGTTGCCTTCCACAAAAGAGCTAGATCATGAGTTTTACACCTGGAGAGAATACATCCATGGTGTCTGCCGCCATTGTTGCTGTCCACCACCCTATGGGCCTGCTCACACAGAAATAGCCGACCAAAGGAAAATCGTCGGAAGGTATGCCACCATCGCACCGCTTTCGAAAACTGTCGCACTGCCATTCATCGATGGTTGTCGTGAGTGTCTAGCAATCGTTGTCGCAAGATGTGCCGCTTTGATGGTGAAGTGAGCAAGGGCCTGCTCCGGCCCGCTATCGAGCCTGAACAGGCCTCAGTGGCTTTCGCCAGCACCAATGAAAGAGAAGAGCGCCACACACAACCTCCCCATAAGACCGAGCTGATGCTCGATGCATCGCGTGAAATTTGCATGATTTGACAAGCCTCGCCGCGTGCTTTGCATTAGGCCGTGCAATCCACTTCAAGACGCCACATTGGCGTCGCTACCACTACATCAGTTATGAGCGATGGCGTTGCCAAAGCCAAGGCCACCACCACAAATTGTTGTGTGACTCCTTGGCGCGTGCCTCCTCCTCTGCATTATGAGGATGGACGTGAACCAACGGGGTGCAGACATCACCGACATCCACCTCCACCTGAGGGCGCGACATGAAATGATTTGGGAGAAATTACCACCTCCGGGCGCCGCCGACACCTTTGTCGCCCACGCGACCTGGAACAACAAGCATACATCGGATCTGAGCCCTGTTGCAGCTTCCTAGGGTCGTCGTCCTCACACAGAAACGCCCTGCCACCCCCATCCTTGGCAGTGGCACGACTTAGCCGCCAGTGGCTTCCGGAGGCGGCAAGGAGGGCAGATGAGAGGGGAGACCGGGGAGGAGTTGTGCTAGGAATTGCCCATCTATGGATGCGATCAGAGAGGCTAGAGGCGACAGCGCTAGGTTATGTATGGGGCAGGCATAGGGATAGAAAATGTGGGAGAAGAAAACTGATTATGAAGAACATATGCATGCACACAAGTAATTTCTAAATCTTATTGGGGTGATAGGTGACATAGTTGTATGTGCTTTTAAATAATTAGTGGCGGGTAGCTATGTAATTATAGAAGATAAATTGAAGATGCAAAAACGAAGGGATTAATTTTCAATAAAGTATTGTTTCATGCACTGTCTGCTTAGGCCAATCTTAGGGGGTCGCCCAGATCAACCCGGGTACGATAATAGACCAATAAGCCGGTTCTCCGCCAAAATGCCTTTCTAATTCTAAGCTCAAATGCCCCTTTATGAACAATAAAATAAAATATAGAAAAGCAATTAAAAAAATCCTAAGTTTTTTTACAACAAGTATTGCTTAGTTTTCCGATGAAATCACATTCGTGGAGGTCTGGAAAAAAAACACTGCAAAATGCTTTCAAAAATAAGTTTTTGAGTCATCATTTGTTTCAGTCAGAGCATTAGAAATGTTTTTTTCCCATGAAAATTTGCATGTATGTAGAACATTCAACAATGTTTGTTGTCAAAAAAAATGGATGTTTTTAAAAAAATTACTCTCTTTTGTTTGTTTGTTTTGTTTTGGAGCGGTTTTTGTTTTAGTATTCACGCAGTGCATTTGAGGTCGCGAGCAGAGACTCCACGTCCCATTCTCCAGGGCCAACCCGAACATGGTGGTGAATCGTGACAAAGCGCGACATCACTGGAGGATCTAACGAGTAGCAGTCCATATATTCTCGGTCATATTTGAATAACAATCGAATAGTTACAAACCTGCTAGGCAGGAGCAATTAAGGAATACTTGAGCAGCAGTGGGAAGCAACAGAGATCCCACAAAAAGTATCGAAGCAACTAAGATCAAGTAAAGCAGCCGCATTGCAGCAACAAGGAAGCAAGGACTCAACTTGGGGGCGAAGCAGAGTCGCCGGGCAGCAAAAACTAACATGTGGCAAGCAAAGCACAAGAAATCAACATTCCAGGTTAACCCTCCTGCATATATATGGTTCGTGTTGCCTAATGAACAGAAATGTGTTCAGAGGGAAATAAGAAAGGATTCGCCTGACACGTACGGAGCTTCAGGCATGGTTCTGACGCATGTTCAGAGCGACGAGGCGGCCGCGTCGGCCGCCGTGTTCGCGTCGAGGTACGTGCAGGACCCCGTCCCGAGCTACGAGCTCGGGGAGAAGTCGATCTCCAAGGACGCGGCGTACCAGATCATCCACGACGAGCTGCTGCTGGACGGCAGTCCGCGGCTGAACCTGGCGTCCTTCGTCACCACCTGGATGGAGCCCGAGTGCGACCGGCTCATCCTCGAGGGCATGAACAAGAACTACGCCGACATGGACGAGTACCCCGTCACCACCGAGCTCCAGGCAAGCTATAGCAGCATTCTGATATGTGTTTTTTCTTTCCGTCTGACCCTTCGTGTCCGGGTCGGATTGATCAACGACGCTATGTGTGTGCAGAACCGGTGCGTGAACATCATAGCGCGGCTGTTCAACGCGCCGGTGGGCGCCGGCGAGACGGCCGTCGGGGTCGGCACGGTCGGGTCCTCGGAGGCGATAATGCTGGCCGGTCTGGCATTTAAGCGTCGCTGGCAGAACAGGCGGAAGGCGGAGGGGAAGCCACTCGACAAGCCCAACATTGTCACGGGAGCCAATGTTCAGGTAACACGATAGACAACGCGCCTACATTTCCTGATTCATCACACAAGAGTTCGATGATCAGAAGTACTAATCTGTTCTGCTCTGCAAATCTGCAATGCAGGTGTGCTGGGAGAAGTTCGCGCGCTATTTCGAGGTGGAGCTCAAGGAGGTGAAGCTGAGCGAAGGGTGCTACGTGATGGACCCCGACAAGGCCGTGGAGATGGTGGACGAGAACACCATCTGCGTCGCCGCCATCCTCGGCTCCACCCTCACCGGCGAGTTCGAGGACGTCAAGCGCCTCAACGACCTCCTGGCCGCCAAGAACAAGCGAACAAGGTGTGCTTGATCAGATCCTCCAGCTAGTTCTTCAAATCCTTACATCGGAAATATCATCCATCCCCGTGTTATGATTATGACGAGGCTGGCATCTTCCGGCTGGCAGGTGGGACACCCCGATCCACGTGGACGCGGCGAGCGGCGGGTTCATCGCGCCGTTCCTGTACCCGGAGCTGGAGTGGGACTTCCGGCTGCCGCTGGTGAAGAGCATCAACGTCAGCGGGCACAAGTACGGCCTCGTCTACCCCGGCGTCGGGTGGGTGATATGGCGCAACAAGGAGGACCTTCCCGACGAGCTCATCTTCCACATCAACTACCTCGGCGCCGACCAGCCAACCTTCACGCTCAACTTCTCAAAAGGCACGAACAATTTCTTTGTCCCTTCCGTTTCAAAAAAAAAAAAAATCTTTGTCCCAGAATTAAACGATGAACAGAATCCCTGATTTGATTGTGTAATTAGATTTCACGTTCTTGAATCGTTTCACTTGTTCGATCTTGTGCAGGGTCCAGCCAAATCATCGCGCAATATTACCAATTTCTTCGGCTAGGTT